TTCTGAAATGTTAAATGTTTTGTTAGGATTAGTTTAACACTTTTATAAATTATAAGCTGAAAATTACCCTTTCATATAAATAATCGGAACTATTTCGGGGTATTTTAGTAATAAACAGTTATAGCTAGGTAGTGCGAGCGCTGGTAAGCGGCCTTCCGGGTGTGTGTTAGGGGTGTAAACGAACCGAACACGAACGAACAAAACTTGTGTTCGTGTTCGGTTCTTTTAAAATTTAGTTTGTTTGAAATAAGCTCGTGTTCGTTTCTTAACGAACGAGCCGAACACGAACCGAACACGAGCTGTTCACGAACGACGAGCCAATTTGACATCTCTAATATTAATATATAAAAATAATATTATATATTAATTATATAACTTATATTATATAAATATACAATATCTATATTAGTATATTACTACTATAGTATATTAATATATTATTATTATTATTTTATTATATATTATAATTTATAAAATTTAATGTTTTAAAATATAATAAATTTTTTATATATAATTATTTAATATTATTTTATATTTCAAACAATAACGATTCGAACACGAACGAACGCATCACTGTTCGTGTTTGGTTCGTTTAACTAACCGAACAAAAAAAATTTGTTCGTGTTTGTCCCGTTTACTTATCGAACGAACCGAACACGAACTCATTGACGAACCGAACACGAACTGTTCTGAACAACGAGCTTTTTTGACAGCCCTAGTGTGTGCGTCCTATCCGTCAGAAATTCCACGTGGAAGGCGATGATCCAATTATGGTTGGCACGCAGCCTCCGCATCAAACTTTATAGATCAGGAGCCGTCCATTTTGTGCGAGGAATAACAGAATATGCGATCAGAACACCTGCTTCTGCTTATACAGTATTAGAAAGTAACAGTTTTGTACGATTCGGGACTTAAATTATTTAAATCATGGAAATTGATTGCAAACAAATTATTTCAAAATTAAAATAAGTTGTTGTCGCTGTTTATTGATAATAAATGTAGGCTTACTTGGCACCATTTTTAATTTTTATTTGATTATAATTAATTATAATATATAATGATTGATCATAATTGATCACTCACAATAATTATGCATCCAAACTTATTTATTTACAAAATTAATATCTTATATTCATTTTTTTGACTTCTCATTGAATATCAAAAACTCATAACAACATCCTAACCACCTTTTTTTCATTTTTGTCAAATTCTAATAATTTAATAATAATAATAAAAAAAATGACACCATTTTGTTTAAAATCCCAAACAACAACGTATTATTTGCCACTGATCACTCGCGTTATTTGTAACTGATGCGTGCTAGAAAATTCACGGCGATAGAGTAATGAATTATCGTCTTAGCGTTGCGCGAGAATTCAACACACACTCAGATGAAAATGAATCAACCTATAATGACACCAGAAGTTTTTACGTGGAAAACCCGTAATGGGAAAAAACTACGGGGTCTGACCCGATTATATAAATCCACTATAAGTTGACGATTACAAAAACCCCTTATCCCACAGACTAGAAAGAGTTACTAAATTTTCCAATGTATAACGTCGACTGACGGAGTCTAGCTGGCAGTGATCGACGGAGGTCGGCGGTGGTCGACGGTAGTCAGCGAATATCGATGACGGTCGGTGGTGGTCGATGGTGGTCGGCGGTGGTCGAAGATGGTCGGTGGTCGACAGAGGTTAATGACAATCGACGGTGGTCGACGATGGCCGGTGGTGGTCAACTGAGGTCGGCGATGGCAGAGATGATGTTGGACCTGAACTCTTTTTCAAAGCCTCAAGTTCTCTCTCAAGTCTCCTCCCCTCATGTGAGGGGTGATGCTCTATTTATAGTGTTTTGATTGCAATTAATGCAGGAATATGAATCATTTTGATGGGACGGTCCGGAGAGCTTCCCATGATCAGATGACGTTTGATGGACATTTGAGTGCCTTAACGATATCGGAATTGAGCAATCTTAGGCTCGTTGGATTCGTCTTGTCGAGACGCTCGGTTCGACTTTGAACTCGCTAGATTCGACATCCGTTTGACCTTTTAAATGCCTCCGAAAATCCTCCATTTGTGATTTAAGGATTTGATCTGGGCTTGATTTGATTATGACTGGACTGACTTTCATATCATTAGGTCCATCTCATTGAGCCGATCAGTTTGACTATAAGTTTGCTAAAATCGAAGCTCTGAATAACTTTTAATTGAAGTTTGAATGTTTCCTGTTCAAAATATTATCTCGAGAACTGTGCCAGATGATAAAAATTTGTTCTTGGCGTATCAGTTACCTTGTCGTGCCCTCGCAGTAGCCACTAGTGTCCACTCCTCTCCCCATATTCTTGTGCACTGACACACCACACTTTGCCTAGTTGTGCTAAGCCTTTTCCTCTAATGCTCTCCTGTGCATTGAATAGTTGTGCTCCCCAATTCTCCCTCATAAATCTTTTTCTCCCTCCAATTAATGTTCTTGGTGTGCCTCAAACTTTGTTAGTTCACATTTTAATTTGAACTTTGAAAATTTCATCGTCTACAATTCAAAGCTAGAGATATCATAAAGTTTCCTTTTTTTGTACTCATTCATTATTTGATGTTATACTTTCGTTATTAGTGATAATCTTATTGACTTTGTTAGCTCTAACTAACCAGACTCTAACTCTCAAGATTCAACATCAAATTCACTTTGATTCTCAGCTTTTATCGTCTGTTGTAATAAATCTCACAGCATTTCGTAAAGGCATTCATCACTCTCTCTCCTTCCTCTGTCGCCCTTTCAATCTCTAATTTTCTCTACCTCTCAATTTTCCTAATTCTAAATTAGCAAATTGGTTGCCCAAGAAAAATGTATCTACCCCTATACATAAAATAATGAGACTTGCTTGCAATGTGTCATTTCATGATTCAAACTATTGCAAAGGATGATAGGGATGCACGAAGCCCAACATGATATGTAACCCAAGATAAAACAAAGGCTTGGAAAAAAGCAATCAAGGGAGATATACGAGCTCTTAAATGCCACAAAGAAGACTATGATTATTGCACCGCAACTAATCCGACCAGGAAACATTTTCTCTATCATAAATGCCATTTCTTAGATGGAATTAACCTTTCAAGCTACCGTTCATTGATCTCAAAATCTTGGTGGGATGCGTAGTGATAGAATGATTGAGATGGTTAGTTCACGTATTAAATTTATAAATGTTGTTAATTAGTTATTAATAATAAATTATTGGTTCTTGTACATTTATAATTAAATCAAATTAGAGATCAAAAGAATGTGGGATGAAGTCATAATCTCTGTGTTTCTCTTAGCTTCTTCTTCCCTTCTTAATTTGTGGAGGAACGAGAATTTTCAAATTATTATTTCTCTTCCAAATCAATTTTTCTTTTCTCATTCCTCTTTCGCAATTTTTGGAGTTGTTACCATCTTCGAATTATCGTTTATCTTGATCGTAAAAATGGGATACTAACAACAATCGAGCTCAAATGCTACATTTCTTTCTCCTGCTCGACTAAGCTCCACCTCCTCGTTCCTAGATCGTATTCTCCACTCAACCAAAACTTGTTATTAAGAAGACCATGAATAGTCCATTGGAAATCAATGAGCATCATTAACTAAGGGTTAATAATATAAATTTTGAAATTTAAGTGCAAAAGTTATAAATGTTTTAATTGCCATGCAAATCAAATTAATTTAATTGTAGTGCACAAAAGTATGAGTTTAAAAGTTCTAAAAATAATGCGACAGTTTGCTAAATTAATAAAATTTTAGCAGAATATACCTAATTCCCCCCCTTTTGAAATAGGCAGCATGCTCCTTAAAATGAGAAAATCATTATATACGCAAATTTGCGTTCGAAGTCCAGTGAAAACTTGTCACATGGCAAGGACCCCAAATCTTTTAAAAATCATCTTTATTACAGCAAGACCCACTTGCACGTAAAAAGTTTTCTTTCGACACAGGACGCAAATTTGTGTCACCAACACCCTCAAATTGGACCCAATATTTTTTTCGAGACAATTACATGCAAAGCATTCCAAGCTTTGATATTTACAAGTCAAACCTCCATGTGACAATTGCATGATCATAATAATATCAATTTGATAAAAATGAAAAATATGAGTTGGAATTAGCCACGTGTCCTTACAAGACTGGTGCATTTCTTTTTCTTTTCGTCC